TTCCAGGGTCTGTGTGTTCCAGGGTCTGTGTGTTCCAGGGTCTGTGTGTTCCAGGGTCTGTGTGCTCCAGTCAGAGCAGGATCCTAACTAGCACCACCTGTCCTGCTGGGATTACACACCTCTACAGGGAGATGGATGCTGAAGGAGTCAGCATGGAGGTAGGAGGAGGGATATACATGTTATATCTAATATACACTGAACAAAAATATAAACGCGACATGTAAAGTGTTGGTACTTTGACTGATTTCCTTATATGAACCAGGAGTGCCACTCCCCCAGAATTTTTCCTGCATTTTTACACAATCCAATATACCGTCTCTATTTAGAACAAAAAGTAAGCAAATATGTCAAACTAGATAAGAGATCATTATTAAATATGTTTAAGTGGTTAAAAAGACTGAACTAGATCAAATGTAATTCAATAATAAATATTGTGTTGCACCTTTAACCAATAGCCTAACAATGTATTTATTAAGACATCCTCTACAGGGATATACATTTTATATCTAATATACACTGAACAAAAATATAAATGCGACATGTAAAGTCTTGGTCCCATGTTTCATAAGGTGAAATAAAAGATCCAGAACTTTTCCATATGCACAAAAAGCTTATTTCACTCTAATTTTGTGCACAAATTTGTTTACATCCCTGTTAGTGAGCATTTCTCCTTTGCCAAGATAATCCATCCACCTGACAGGTGTGGCATATCAAGAAGCTGATTAAACAGCATGATCATTACACACGTACACCTTGTGCTGGGAACAATAAAATGCCACTAAAATGTGCACAATTCCACGGATGTCTCAAGTTTTGAGGGAGCGTGCAATTGGCATGCTGACTGCAGGAATGTCCACCGGAGCTGTTGCCGGAGAATTGAATGTTCATTTATTTACCATAAGCCGCCTCCAACGTCGTTTTAGAGAATTTGGCAGTGCGTCCAACCGGCCTCACAACTGCAGGCCACGTGTATGGCGTTGTGTGGGCGAGGTGTTTGCTGAGGTCGACGTTGTGAACAGAGTGCCCCTGTAGCTCAGTTGGTAGAGCATGGCGCTTACAACGCCAGGGTTGTGGGTTCGATTCCCATGGGGGGCCAGTATGGAAAATGTATGCACTCACTAACTGTAAGTCGCTCTGGATAAGAGCATCTGCTAAAATGTAATGGTGGGGTTATGGTATGGGCAGGCATAAGCTACGGACAATGAACACAATTGCATTTTATCGATGGCAATTTTAATGCACAGAGATACTGTGATGAGATCCTGAGGCCCAATGTCGTGCCATTCATCCGCCGCCATCACCTCATGTTCCAGCATGATAATGCACGGCTCCATGTCGCAAGGATCTGTACACAATTCCTGGAAGCTGAAAATGTCCCAGTTCTTCCATGGCCTGCATACTCACCAGACATGTCATTCATTGAGCATGTTTGGGATGCTCTGGATCGATGTGTACGACAGCGTGTTCCAGTTCCCACCAATATCCAGCCACTTTGCACAGCCATTGAAGAGGAGTGGAACAACATTCCACAGGCCACAATCAACAGCCTGATCAACTCTATGTGAAGGAGATGTGTCATGCTGCATGAGGCAAATGGTCACACCAGATACTGACTGGTTTTCTGATCCACGCCCCTACCTTTTTCAAATGTATCTGTGACCAACAGATGCATATCTGTATTCCCAGTCATGTGAAATCCATAGATTAGGGCCTCATTTATTTATTTCAATTGACTGATTTCCTTATATGAACCAGGAGCGCCACTCCCCCAGAATTTTTCCTGCATTTTTACACAATCCAATATACCGTCTCTATTTAGAACAAAAAGTAAGCAAATATGTCAAACTAGATAAGAGATCATTATTAAATATGTTTAAGTGGTTAAAAAGATTGAACTAGATCAAATGTAATTCAATAATAAATATTGTGTTGCACCTTTAACCAATAGCCTAACAATGTCTTTATTAAGACATCCTCTACAGTGGCTTGCGAAAGTATTCACCCCCTTGGCATTTTTCCTATTTTGTTGCCTTACAACCTGGAATTAAAATGGATTTTTTGAGGGTTTGTATCATTTGATTTACACAACATGCCTACCACTTTGAAGATGCAAAATATTTTTTCTTGTGAAACAAACAAGAAAAAAACCCCAGAAAACTTCAGTGTGCATAACTATTCACCCCCCCAAAGTCAATACTTTGCAGAGCCACCTTTTGCAACAATTACAGCTGCAAGTCTCTTGGGGTATGTCTCTATAAGCTTGGCACATCTAGCCACTGGGATTTTTTTTCCTATTCTTCAAAGCAAAACTGCTCCAGCTCCTTCAAATTGGATGGGTTCCGCTGGTGTACAGCAATCTTTAAGTCATACCACAGATTCTCAATTGGATTGAGGGTGGCAGGTAGTTTAGTGGGTAAGAGTGTTGTGCCAGTAACCGAAAGGTTGCTGGTTCTAATCCCTGAGCCGACTAGGTGAAAAATCTGTTGACGTGCCCTTAAGCAAGGCACTTATTAGATGTTATTGTGGGTGTAGCGAAATGCTTGTGTTTCTAGCTCCAACAGTGCAGTATAGCATAGGTCAGGTTACTACGTTGAGCATAGGTCAGGTTACTATATATACAATTCACAACAATACACACAACCTATAAGTAAAATAATAGAATTAAGGAATGAATAAAATATTAGGATGAGCAATGTCAGAGTGGCATAGACTAAGATACAGTACAATAGAATACAGTATATAAACGCAAAAAAAGAAACGTCAGCAAAAAAATGAGGGAGGAGGATGTCTTCCCTGTAACACACAGCGTTGAGATTGCCTGCAATGACAACAAGCTCAGTCCGATGATGCTGTGACACACCGCCCCAGACCATGACGGACCCTCCACCTCCAAATCGATCCCACTCCAGAGTACAGGCCTCGGTGTAACGTTCATTCCTTCGATGATAAACGCGAATCCGACCATCAACCCTGGTGAGACAAAACTGCGACTCGTCAGTGAAGAGCACTTTTTGCCAGTCCTGTCTGGTCCAGCGACGGTGGGTTTGTGCCCATAGGCGACGTTGTTGCCGGTGATGTCTGGTGAGGACCTGCCTTACAACAGGCCTACAAGCCCTCAGTCCAGCCTCTCTCAGCCTATTGCGGACAGTCTGAGCACTGATGGAGGGATTGTGCGTTCCTGGTGTAACTCAGGCAGTTGTTGTTGCCATCCTGTACCTGTCCCGCAGGTGTGATGTTCGGATGTACCGATCCTGTGCAGGTGTTGTTACACGTGGTCTGCCACTGCGAGGACAATCAGCTGTCAGTCCTGTCTCCCTGTAGCGCTGTCTTAGGCGTCTCACAGTACGGACATTGTAATTTATTGCCCTGGCCACATCTGCAGTCCTCATGCCTCCTTGCAGCATGCCTAAGGCACGTTCACGCAGATGAGCAGGGACCCTGGGCATCTTTCTTTTGGTGTTTTTCAGAGTCAGTAGAAAGGCCTCTTTAGTGTCCTAAGTTTTCATAACTGTGACCTTAATTGTCTACCGTCTGTAAGCTGTTAGTGTCTTAACGACCGTTCCACAGGTGCATGTTCATTAATTGTTTATGGTTCATTGAACAAGCATGGGAAACAGTGTTTAAACCCTTTACAATGAAGATCTGTGAAGTTATTTGGAATTTAACTAATTATCTTTGAAAGACAGCGTCCTGAAAAAGGGGCGTTTCTTTTTTTCAGAGTTTACATATGAGATGAGTAAAGCAAAAAATATGTCAAAACTATTAGAGTGACTAATGTTCCGTTATTAAAGTGGCCAGTGGTTCCAAGTCTATGTATATAGAGGCAGCAGCCTCTAAGGTGCAGGGTTACGTAACCGGGTGGAAGCCTGCTAGTGATGGCTATTTAACAGTCTGATGGCCTTGAGATAGAAGCTATTTTTCATTCTCTCGGTCCCAGCTTTGATGCACCTGTACTGACCTCTCCTTCTGGATGATAGTGGGGTGAGCAGGAAGTGGCTCGGGTGGTTGATGTCCTTGTTGTGTTTTTGGCCTTCCTGTGCACACAATATAGCTGGGTCGCCCCGTCCTGTCCCTAGGGGTCCACCACCCTGCAGCGCCCCAACACACCCCACTCATTCATTATTGGTTTCGGGTGTGTTAGGCCAAGGCCAGAGTGACAACCCAGAGGACGGCAGACCCCAGGGCCAGAACTGAGCAGCCCAGCAGCTAAATAAGCTGACGTGGACATGTTTTCAATACAGACTCCTTTAATCCTCTGTGTTCCATATAAGGCATCCAGTCCTTATGAAAGTTGCCCAGTATACAGTCAACTTTCAACTTTGGAGGTTTGTCAGACTGCCTTAAAATAGCATCTGGCTTGTCCTTTGTTTGCTGCACAGAGAGAATAAAGTGTTGACCTCGCCTCCGTCCCAGACGGGTCTTCCCTGGCTACCTGACCCTGACTGGTCTTCCCTGGCTGCCTGAACCTGACTGGTCTTCCCTGGCTGCCTGACCCTGACTGGTCTTCCCTGGCTACCTGACCCTGACTGGTCTTCCCTGGCTGCCTGACCCTGACTGGTCTTCCCTGGCTACCTGACCCTGACTGGTCTTCCCTGGCTGCCTGACCCTGACTGGTCTTCCCTGGCTACCTGACCCTGACTGGTCTTCCCTGGCTGCCTGACCCTGACTGGTCTTCCCTGGCTGCCTGACCCTGACTGGTCTTCCCTGGCTGCCTGACCCTGACTGGTCTTCCCTGGCTGCCTGACCCTGACTGGTCTTCCCTGGCTGCCTGACCCTGACTGGACTGGTCTTCCCTGGCTGCCTGACCCTGACTGGTCTTCCCTGGCTGCCTGACCCTGACTGGTCTTCCCTGGCTGCCTGACCCTGACTGGTCTTCCCTGGCTGCCTGACCCTGCAGGGACCCCTGTCACCATCTGATCCTGCTTAGACATTATTCACACTCTCAGAATACTATGGTGAGCATAGGTTAGGTTACTATGGTGAGCATAGGTTAGGTTACTATGGTGAGCATAGGTTAGGTTACTATGGTGAGCATAGGTTAGGTTGCTATGGTGAGCATAGGTTAGGTTACTATGGTGAGCATAGGTTAGGTTACTATGGTGAGCATAAGTTAGGTTTCTATGGTGAGCATAGGTTAGGTTACTATGGTGAGCATAGGTTAGGCTACTATGGTGAGCATAGGTTAAGTTACTATGGTGAGCATAGGTTAGGTTACTATGGTGAGCATAGGTTAGGTTACTATGGTGAGCATAGGCTAGGTTACTATGGTGAGCATAGGTTAGGTTACTATGGTGAGCATAGGTTAGGTTACTATGGTGAGCATAGGTTAGGTTACTATGGTGAGCATAGGTTAGGTTACTATGGTGAGCATAGGCTAGGTTACTATGGTGAGCATAGGTTAGGTTACTATGGTGAGCATAGGTTAGGTTACTATGGTGAGCATAGGTTAGGTTACTATGGTGAGCATAGGTTAGGTTACTATGGTGAGCATAGGTTAGGTTACTATGGTGAGTATAGGTTAGGTTACTATGGTGAACATAGGTTAGGTTACTATGGTGAACATAGGTTAGGTTACTATGGTGAGCATAAGTTAGGTTACTATGGTGAGCATAAGTTAGGTTACTATGGTGATCATAGGTTAGGTTACTATGTGAGCATAGGTTAGGTTACTATGGTGAGCATAGGTCAGGTTACTATGGTGAACATAGGTTAGGTTACTATGGTGAACATAGGTTAGGTTACTATGGTGAGCATAGGTTAGTCTACTATGGTGGTCATAGGTTAGGTTACTATGGTGAGCATAGGTTAGGCTACTATGGTGAGCATAGGTTAGGTTACTATGGTGAGCATAGGTTAGGTTACTATGGTGAGCATAGGTTAGGTTACTATGGTGATCATAGGTTAGGTTACTATGGTGAGCATAGGTTAGGTTACTATGGTGAGCATAGGTTAGGTTACTATGTTGAGCATAGGTCAGGTTACTATGGTGGTCATAGGTTAGGTTACTATGGTGAGCATAAGTTAGGTTACTATGGTGAGCATAAGTTAGTCTACTATGGTGAGCATAGGTTCGGTTACTATGGTGAGCATAGGTTAGGCTACGATGGTGAGCATAGGGTAGGTTACTATGGTGAGCATAGGATAGTCTACTATGGTGAGCATCGGTTAGGTTACTATGGTGAGCATAGGTCAGGTTACTATGGTGAGCATAGGTTAGGTTACTATGGTGAGCATAGGTTAGGTTACTATGGTGAGCATAGGTTAGGCTACTATGGTGAGCATAGGTTAGTCTACTATGGTGAGCATAGGTTAGGTTACTATGGTGAGCATAGGTTAGGTTACTATGGTGATCATAGGTTAGGTTACTATGGTGATCATAGGTTAGGTTACTATGGTGAGCATAGGTTAGGTTACTATGGTGATCATAGGTTAGGTTATTATGGTGAGCATAGGTTAGGTTACTATGGTGAGCATAGGTTAGGCTACTATGGTGAGCATAGGTTAGGTTACTATGGTGATCATAGGTTAGGTTATTATGGTGAGCATAGGTTAGGTTACTATGGTGAGCATAGGTTAGGTTACTATGTTGAGCATAGGTTAGGCTACTATGGTGAGCATAGGTTAGGTTACTATGTTGAGCATAGTGTCACGCCCTGGCTCTGGGGACTCTGTTATGTTAAGCCAGGGTGTTTAGAGTCTATGTTTTGTGTTTCTTTGTTCAGTATCTAGTTCATTGTGTTTCTAAGTTGGCCGGGGTGGTTCTCAATCAGAGGCAACGAGAATCACCTGTTGCTTGTTGTCTCTGATTGGGAACAATACTTAGGCAGCCGTTTGGGCATTTGTGTTTGTGGGATCTTGTTCCGTGTTGGTTTGTGTATGTACCCAAGGACTTCACATATCGTTTTGTTGTTTTTGTTCGTGTGGTGATATATAAATAAAAGATGTTCGCATTCCACGCTGCGCATTGGTCCACTCCCTTCAACGATCGTGACACATAGGTTAGGTTACTATGGTGAGCATAGGTTAGGTTACTATGGTGATCATAGGTTAGGTTACTATGGTGAGCATAGGTTAGGTTACTATGGTGATAATAGGTTAGGTTACTATGGTGAGCATAGGTTAGTCTACTATGGTGAGCATAGGTTAGGCTACTATGGTGATCATCGGTTAGGTTACTATGGTGAGCATAGGTTAGGTTACTATGGTGAGCATAGGTTAGGCTACTATGGTGAGCATAGGTTAGGTTACTATGGTGAGCATAGGTTATGTTACTATGGTGAGCATAGGTTAGTCTACTATGGTGAGCATAGGTTAGTCTACTATGGTGAGCATAGGTTAGGCTACTATGGTGAGCATTGGTTAGGTTACTATGGTAAGCATAGGTTAGGTTACTATGGTGATCATAGGTTAGGTTACTATGGTGATCATAGGTTAGGTTACTATGGTGAGCATAAGTTATGTTACTATGGTGAGCATAGGTTAGGTTACTAAGGTGAGCATAGGTTAGGTTACTATGGTGAGCATAGGTTAGGTTACTATGGTGAGCATAGGTTAGGTTATTAAGGTGAGCATAGGTTAGGTTACTATGGTGATCATAGGTTAGGTTACTATGGTGAGCATAAGTTATGTTACTATGGTGAGCATAGGTTAGGTTACTATGGTGAGCATAGGTTAGGTTACTATGGTGAGCATAGGTTAGGTTACTATGGTGGTCATAGGTTAGGTTACTATGGTGAGCATAGGTTAGGTTACTATGGTGAGCATAGGTTAGGCTACTATGGTGAGCATAGGTTAGGTTACTATGGTGAGCTTATGTTAAGTTACTATGGTGAGCATAGGTTAGTCTACTATGGTGAGCATAGGTTAGGTTACTATGATGAGCATAGGTTAGGTTACTATGGTGAGCATATTTTAGGTTACTATGGTGAACATAGGTTAGTCTACTATGGTGAGCATAGGTTAGGTTACTATGGTGAGCATAGGTTAGGTTACTATGGTGAGCATAGGTTAGTCTACTATGGTGAGCAAAGGTTAGGTTACTATGGTGATTATAAGTTAGTCTACTATGGTGAGCATAGGTTAGTATACTATGGTGAGCATAGGTTAGTCTACTATGGTGAGCATAGGTTAGGTTACTATGGTGAGCATAGGTTAGTCTACTATGGTGAGCATAGGTTAGGTTACTATGGTGAGCATATGTTAGTCTACTATGGTGAGCATAGGTTAGGCAGCTATGGTGAGCATTGGTTAGGCAGCTATGGTGAACATAGGTGAGGTTACTATGGTGAGCATAGGCTAGGTTACTATGGTTAGCATAGGTTAGTCTATTATGGTGAGCATAGGTTAGGTTACTATGGTGAGCATAGGTTAGGTTACCATGGTGAGTATAGGTTAGTCTACTATGGGGAGCATAGGTAGAGCATGGCGCTTGTAACGCCAGGGTAGTGGGTTCGATCCCCGGGACCACCCATACTTAAAAATGTATGCACACATGACTGTAAGTCTCTTTGGATAAAGCATCTGCTAAATGGCATATTATTATTATTATATTTCTCCATCTGAAAATTTTCCCACTCCTAAAAGGTAGGCTATAAAAATAGCTCAAGAGAAAGTGCAAGTCTCTCCAACTCTGCTCTCTTCAAACTACATCTAGCATATTGGCTGATATAGCGCAGTAATACAATGTAAGGGCCATGTGAGAATCTCTGGTAATTTAACTTATTTCTTAAGTAATTTTTGCATATTTGATATTGCCTATAGTGCGCAAAGTTGCCGGGACCATGGCTGGCAGTGAGCTGCGTCACATAGGTCTGAAATAACATTGCGGGACTGGGGTTGGGTTTGGACCAGTTCCTGAGGTAGCGGTTGGGTTTGGACCAGTTCCTGAGGTAGCGGTTGGGTTTGGACCAGTTCTTGAGGTAGCGGGTGGGAGTCGGACAGAAAGACAGCTGGTGCGGGCGGAGTGAAGAAATGGGTCCCGCGCAGACCTCTACTGTGCACCATGACAGTGAAGCCTGTAACGTTAGAGATGTTTATTACTGTGTCAGTGTGAAAAGTAGGGAATTAGCCAGGGAAACTGACAGATCAATACCGTTACATTGCCATACTGACTAATAAAACTCACATTGCACAGAAAAAACGTCAGAATATCAATCTTCAATCATTTGGCCGATGGTTTCATTATTTGATTTAGGTCTAGTGTGATTGAGGCAAAAAGAATAGCTAACATTAGCCAACTTTTTTGCGAGCTCTCTAACGGTACATCAACTGGTGAAAGCTAGCCAAGTTAATTTACTTCTGAAACGGGACAAAACAAAGGCTAGAAATAATTTCCATACAAACCAGAGCTGTTAGATCGTAATAATATCCACCTCATATCGCTATCTGACAGATAACTAGAGGCTAGAGCTGTGATAGCTACTAGCTAGCGTAGCTTATTCATTCACCTCAGTCGAGAGGGGATGAAACATTAGCGTGACTGTACATGTCAGTTACACTACTAGCTCAGCACTGCAAATAAACACTATTTTTTTCTGTTAAGTTAAACAGCAGTTACCTTGCCAGCTACATCAGTCAACTAAAGAGTAGCCAGTTTATGCTTTGTTTGCTTTTAAAACTTGGTGAAAGAGTGCAACACATACACACTGAACTATGCTGAACTCTCCCATGCTGGTCCAGCCAGCCTTCCAGAAGCTTTGCGTTCACACATCCTGTCAGCCCGCTCTGTGGTGTCCGCGTGGTCCTAAATCCAGCCGGCTGAACACTCCAAACAGCCTACCCGACCGCTTGGAGGCGTCCGCATGGTCCTAAAGCACACCATTGCCTGTTTTTGTATCACATTCCAATGATAAAACTGGGGGGGACAAAAATTTGATTTCAGAATGTGGGGGGGACATGACCCCCCCCGTCCCCAGTGAAAGTTGCGCCCCTGATATGAACTGTAACTCAGTCAAATATTTTAAATTGTTGCATGTTGCGTTTCTATTTTTGTTCAGTGTATTTTAACATGCTTACTGTTTACTTCAGCTTGTAACACCTTATCAAAGATATGAACCTCTGGAGGAGCCCAGATTGACTGAGTCTGACCCTCTGGAGGAGCTAGTCAAACAGGAACTGATACCATTGTATGTAAAATCAAATGGTATATTTATTAGCATTTTCTTCATGCTATCATTGTTACTGGGTATAGTTGAACCTATTTCCCCTTATAGGAATCTCACTCATTAACACTTCTTCAATCTCAGCTGTTTCCTACAGTGTACCTGTATAACACGGTAGAGGAAGGAATGAGACCCACTACCCCCAACTATGGCAACGGAACCACTGATTACTACGGCAGCGGCAAATGGGACGATGAGTACGATGATGAAGTCTGTTCCAAGACAGGCGTGGTCAGGTTCGGAGCCCTCGTCACACCCATGGTCCTCTCCGTGGTCATTGCACTAAGCCTTGTGGGTAACCTGCTGGTGTTGGTGGTTCTGGCCAGGTAGGACAGTCTGACGATGAGAAATAGATCATGAATATTTTCCTCATTTTAACTTGGCTTGCTGCTCTATTCATGCATCTTGTTCAGAGAGAGCGAGGTAACTAGTGACAGTCCAAGGAGGGTAGGACTATTACTGTAGTCTTCATCAGGGTTTCAGGGTAGGACTATTACTGTAGTCTTCATCAGGGTTTCAGGGTAGGACTATTACTGTAGTCTTCATCAAGGTTTCATTGTAGGACTATTACTGTAGTCTTCATCAAGGTTTCAGGGTAGGACTATTACTGTAGTCTTCATCAGGGTTTCAGGGTAGGACTATTACTGTAGTCTTCATCAGGATTTCAGGGTAGGACTATTACTGTAGTCTTCATCAGGGTTTCAGGGTAGGACTATTACCGTAGTCTTCATCAGGGTTTCAGGGTAGGACTATTACTGTAGTCTTCATCCGGGTTTCAGGGTAGGACTATTACTGTAGTCTTCATCAGGGTTTCAGGGTAGGACTATTACTGTAGTCTTCATCAGGGTTTCAGGGTAGGACTATTACTGTAGTCTTCATCAAGGTTTCAGTGTAGGACTATTACTGTAGTCTTCATCAAGGTTTCAGGGTAGGACTATTACTGTAGTCTTCATCAGGGTTTCAGGGTAGGACTATTACTGTAGTCTTCATCAGGGTTTCATTGTAGGACTATTACTGTAGTCTTCATCAGGGTTTCAGGGTAGGACTATTACTGTAGTCTTCATCAAGGTTTCAGGGTAGGACTATTACTGTAGTCTTCATCAGGGTTTTGAAGTCGACTTCCATTGTCCTCTAAGAGTTGTATGTTCATCTCATCTTCAGTTCCTATGTTCGTGCACCTTGGTTAGCTAGCGACAGTGTTGTGTGTTGTTTAAAACAGTGTTGCGTTGTGTTTAAAACAGTGTTGTATTTAAAACAGTGTTGTGTTGTGTTTAAAACAGTGTTGTGTTTAAAACAGTGTTGTGTTGTGTTTAAAACAGTGTTGTGTTTAAAACAGTGTTGTGTGTTGTGTTTCAAACAGTGTTGTGTTTAAAACAGTGTTGTGTGTTGTGTTTCAAACAGTGCTGTGTGTCTCTGCTTCTCTCCCAGGTACGAGTGTCTTCGGTCACTGACGAATGCGTTCATGATGAACCTGGCATTGTCTGACCTGGTGTTCACCTGCGGCCTTCCCTTCTGGGTCTCTTATCACCTGATTGGTTGGAGCTACAGTGACCTCACCTGTAAGGCGGTCAGCTTCCTGTTCTATGCTGGCTACTACAGCAGTGGCATCTTCCTCATCCTGATGACGCTGCATCGTTACCTGGCCGTGCTCCGCCCCCTATCTCACCTGGTGTCAGGCCCCTCCCACTCTCAGGGCACCTGGAGCGCTGTGGTCTCATTGGTTGTCTGGACCGTCAGTGTGTTAGCTGCTACGCCAGCTCTCATCTTTACCAAGTTAATCATCACTGATCCTGTGGACCCTAACAACCCTGATTGGCCTAGTGACTCTAAAGCCCCTAGTGGTGGCCAGCGGTACTGTGAGGTTGCAGACGTCGGCTGGAGGCTGTGGGGGGTCTACCAGCAGAACATCCTCTTCATAGTGACATTACTAGTGGTGTGTGTCTGTTACAGTCAGATTCTAGTCCGACTCCTGAGGCCCAGGGTTAGGGTTAGGGTTAGGCGCCAGAGGAGTGGAGGAGACAGGAGGAGCCAGAGGACCGCCAGGCTGGTCTTGGGCCTGGTCCTGGTGTTCTTTGTGGGCTGGGCGCCGTACAACGTTGTCATCTTCCTCAGGACGCTGGTGTATAAGGGACAAGATGGAGGCGGCGCTGGCAGTGCTGAGTCATCCACACCACTAGGGGTCGAGTGTGGTGCCAGCAACATGTTAGAGTACTCCTTCTATGTGACCAGGCTGCTGGCGTTCTCCTACTGCTGTCTCAACCCTCTGTTCTACGTGTTCGTTGGGGTCAAGTTCCGGAACCACCTGAAGAGAATGTTGAAGGGTTGTTGTCATGGTGTTACCGTTGTCAATAACAACAACAACAGCAGTGTTCTGTACAGGAGCAGCAGACTGACATCACAGTCCAGTGGGGAGGAGTTCTCACTTTAAACAACAACACTGTAAACAACATCAACAACATCAACAACAACAACAGCTGACATCACAGTCCAGTGGGGAGGAGTCACTGTACTAGACATCACTTTCATACTAGATATTGTAGTATTCTTTACTTCATGTTACCTGGAACCATTCACTTTCATACTAGATATTGTAGTATTATTTACTTAATGTTACCTGGAACCATTCACTTTCATACTAGATATTGTAGTATTCTTTACTTCATGTTACCTGAAACCATTAACTTTCATACTAGATATTGTAGTATTCTTTACTTTATGTTACCTGGAACCATTCACTTTCATACTAGATATTGTAGTATTCTTTACTTCATGTTACCTGGAACCGCTTGCCGATACCGCTTGCTGTGCAGTAGCAGAGAGAACAGTCTATGACTTGGGTAACTGGAGTGTTTGACAGTTTTTTGGGCCTTCCTCTGAGACTGCCTGGTATAGAGGTCCTGGATGGCAGGAAGCTTGGCCCCAGTGATGTACTGGGCCGTACGCACTACCCTCTGTAGCGCCTTACGGGCGGATGCTGAGCAGTTGCCATACCAGGTGGTAATGCAACCATTCTGGAAGCTCTCGATGGTGCAGCTGTAGAACTTTTTGAGGATCTGGGACCAATGCCAAATCTTTTCAGTCTCCTGAGGGAGAAAAGGTGTTGTCGTGCCCTCTTCACAACTTCCTTGGTGTGTCGTCTAGGTAATTGCCTGTTGCTGTGTGCTCTGTGTCGTCTAGGTAACTGCCTGTTGCTGTGTGCTCTGTGTCGTCTAGGTAACTGCCTGTTGCTGTGTGCTCTGTGTCGTCTAGGTAACTGCCTGTTGCTGTGTGCTCTGTGTCGTCTAGGTAACTGCCTGTTGCTGTGTGCTCTGTGTCGTCTAGGTAACTGCCTGTTGCTGTGTGCTCTGTGTCGTCTAGGTAACTGCCTGTTGCTGTGTGCTCTGTGTCGTCTAGGTAACTGCCTGTTGCTGTGTGCTCTGTGTCGTCTAGGTAACTGCCTGTTGCTGTGTGCTCTGTGTCGTCTAGGTAACTGCCTGTTGCTGTGTGCTCTGTGTCGTCTAGGTAACTGCCTGTTGCTGTGTGCTCTGTGTCGTCTAGGTAACTGCCTGTTGCTGTGTGCTCTGTGTCGTCTAGGTAACTGCCTGTTGCTGTGTGCTCTGTGTCATTATGAGGACCTGAGGAGGGTCACCAACCTGTTCATTCTCAACCTGCTGACCTGTGACCTCCTCTTCACCCTGACCCTGCCCTTCTGGGCCGTCTATCACCTGACACCTGATATGTAATCGCTGCCAAAGGTGCTTCAACAAAGTACTGAGTAAAGGGTCTGAATACTTATGTAAATGTGATATTTCAGTTTTTTACTTTTAATACATTTGGTTTTGCTTTGTCATTATGGGGTATTGTGTGTAGATTGATGAGGGGAAAAAACAATTTAATCAATTTTAGAAAAAGGCTGTAACTTAACAAAATGTGGAAAAAGTCAAAGGGGTCTGAATACTTTCCGAATGCACTGTATATTAATTACAAATCAGCCTTTTAGTTCAATCGTGTTGTAGTCTATTGCAGAGTTACAATGTGTAACCATTGATGTCCCAGGACCAGGATTGGTAAACACAGTTGAAGTGTATAATTGTAATGCATACATGCAGACACAGCACCATTCACAGACTGGATACTCCTGGAGTTGGATACTCCTGGTATTGGATACTCCTGGTATTGGATACTCCTGGTATTGGATACTCCTGGAGTTGGATACTCCTGGTATTGGATACTCCTGGTATTGGATACTCCTGGAGTTGGATACTCCTGGTATTGGATATAACTGATAAATAATGTCTCACAGACATTCATACCTGAGATCACCTTTATTTACCATAGTAGAGTATATGCTTGGTAATAACTACATGTAGATACGACTTCCATCCTTGGAACAATAAAGCTATGTTATATTCTACTCAGTCCATAGGATTCATCGATGCCATTCAGACTGTCTTGAAGTCAATACAACCGGCTATGCTAGCTTAGGTTTGTAGCTAGGTTCATAGCTAGCTAGCTAATATCGACATTATAATATTGACATGTAACATTCATTTGTGTAACAGTCATTTTCATGCAAATTCTTGGGGATTAAATGATTAACTGGTGGAAGCAATTAAAACCACTGTTCTGAACTAATATTTAAACCAAACTTTTAGGGTCCACACACAGATCAGCTACATTGCTAGCTACACATCCATAGGCATACAGGTATGTTTGATCTTCCACTACACAATAAGCAAGAAAATAGTTAGCTAGCTGCGTTACTTCAGCTGCATTGGGTGGTAAATATCAGCTCTCAATTCAAAGGGCTTTATTGGCATTGGCATACTGTATGCTTACATTGCCAAAGCATTGCTCTCTGGATCAGAGCTCTGTCCCTTTGGCAATGCTCTCTGGATCAGAGCTCTATCCCTTTGGCATTGCTCTCTGGATCAGAGCTCTGTCCCTTTGGCAATGCTCTCTGGATCAGATCTCTGTGCCTTTGGCAATGCTCTCTGGATCAGAGCTCTGTCCCTTTGGCATTGCTCTCTGGATCAGAGCTCTGTCCCTTTGGCATTGCTCTCTGGATCAGAGCTCTGTCCCTTTGGCAATGCTCTCTGGATCAGAGCTCTGTCCCTTTGGCAATGCTCTCTGGATCAGAGCTCTGTCCCTTTGGCAATGCTCTCTGGATCAGAGCTCTGTCCCTTTGGCATTGCTCTCTGGATCAGAGCTCTGTCCCTTTGGCATTGCTCTCTGGATCAGAGCTCTGTCCCTTTGGCATTGCTCTCTGGATCAGAGCTCTGTCCCTTTGGCAATGCTCTCTGGATCAGAGCTCTGTCCCTTTGGCAATGCTCTCTGGATCAGAGCTCTGTCCCTTTGGCATTGCTCTCTGGATCAGAGCTCTGTCCCTTTGGCATTGCTCTCTGGATCAGAGCTCTGTCCCTTTGGCATTGCTCTCTGGATCAGAGCTCTGTCCCTTTGGCATTGCTCTCTGGATCAGAGCTCTGTCCCTTTGGCAATGCTCTCTGGATCAGAGCTCTGTCCCTTTGGCATTGCTCTCTGGATCAGAGCTCTGTCCCTTTGGCAATGCTCTCTGGATCAGAGCTCTGTCCCTTTGGCAATGCTCTCTGGATCAGAGCTCTGTCCCTTTGGCAATGCTCTCTGGATCAGAGCTCTGTCCCTTTGGCAATGCTCTCTGGATCAGAGCTCTGTCCCTTTGGCAATGCTCTCTGGATCAGAGCTCTGTCCCTTTGGCAATGCTCTCTGGATCAGAGCTCTGTCCCTTTGGCATTGCTCTCTGGATCAGAGCTCTGTCCCTTTGGCAATGCTCTCTGGATCAGAGCTCTGTCCCTTTGGCATTGCTCTCTGGATCAGAGCTCTGTCCCTTTGGCAATGCTCTCTGGATCAGAGCTCTGTCCCTTTGGCATTGCTCTCTGGATCAGAGCTCTGTCCCTTTGGCATTGCTCTCTGGATCAGAGCTCTGTCCCTTTGGCATTGCTCTCTGGATCAGAGCTCTGTCCCTTTGGCAATGCTCTCTGGATCAGAGCTCTGTCCCTTTGGCATTGCTCTCTGGATCAGAGCTCTGTCCCTTTGGCAATGCTCTCTGGATCAGAGCTCTGTCCCTTTGGCATTGCTCTCTGGATCAGAGCTCTGTCCCTTTGGCATTGCTCTCTGGATCAGAGCTCTGTCCCTTTGGCATTGCTCTCTGGATCAGAGCTCTGTCCCTTTGGCAATGCTCTCTGGATCAGAGCTCTGTCCCTTTGGCAATGCTCTCTGGATCAGAGCTCGGTCCCTTTGGCATTGCTCTCTGGATCAGAGCTCTGTCCCTTTGGCATTGCTCTCTGGATCAGAGCTCTGTCCCTTTGGCATTGCTCTCTGGATCAGAGCTCTGTCCCTTTGGCATTGCTCTCTGGATCAGAGCTCTGTCCCTTTGGCATTGCTCTCTGGATCAGAGCTCTGTCCCTTTGGCATTGCTCTCTGGATCAGAGCTCTGTCCCTTTGGCATTGCTCTCTGGATCAGAGCTCTGTCCCTTTGGCATTGCTCTCTGGATCAGAGCTCTGTCCCTTTGGCATTGCTCTCTGGATCAGAGCTCTGTCCCTTTGGCATTGCTCTATGGATCAGAGCTCTGTCCCTTTGGCGGCTGTGGCCAGCGTCTCAGCAGCCCTCTTCTCAGATGAGTTCTATGGCTCTGGCTTCGCAATCTGCTCCGAGACACGACAGAGGCTGGATCATTCCGGCGAATGTGATAAGGAGTTCGATGGTGAGGCATATATCTGTGCCTGGGGCAAAGACTTTGTGTTTTCCTGGGGCAAAAGTTCAGGATATCACCAGGTTGCTTCCCGAGGCTGTGAGTCAGTCACCGGGGGCTGATACTGTCAAGGTTCATGTGGGGTCAAATGACATTATGAAAGGCAGAACAGCTGAAGATGGATTTTAAAGAACTGATTGGGTCTCTACTTGACACCAACAAACACCCCATAATATCCGGCCCTCTGCCCTCCCTAAATCGTGGCATTGAACGGTTCAGCAGACTTTTAGCCCTCCATAACTGGCTACGAGACTATTGCAGCTCTGTGGGTGTAACATTTATTGACAATTTTGATACCTTCTGGAAACTAAGCTAGTATTATAAAGAGGATGGGATCCACTCAAATAATCTAGGTACCTGGATCCTTTCACAGCATTATAAGGCTGCGTTGAGACAATGACTTATCAATGACCCGTCCAGCTCATTTAATCCCTACCACTGTGTCGCTGAGTTGTCATAACGCTTCAGCAAATGTACATTATACCAGGGGCATTGGAAGACACAATTGAAATAACCTAATTATGTCCCTCTTACTGCCCGGAATGCCTCTGTTGATCCTACAGCTATTGGATGCAGTACTCATGTGCCTATCAACCAGAGTAATGCTGTCAGCACTGAGGTGGTGTGCCCTAGTCGGAAGTCCACTGTGTGCAGCTCACCC